TAAAACCAGCAGAACCCGAGCTAAAATCAGTAGAACCCAAGCTAAAACCAACAGAACCCAAGCTAAAACCAGCCAAACTCAAGCTAAAACCAGCAGATCCCAAGCTAAAAACAGCAGAACCCAAGCTAAAGCCAGCAGAACCCAAGCTAAAACCAGCAGAACCCGAGCTAAAACCAACAGAACCTGAGCTAAAACCAGCAGAACCCAAGCTAAAACCAGCAGAACCAGAGCTAAAACCAGCAGAACCAGAGCTAAAACCAGCAGAACCCGAGCTAAATCCAGCAGAACCTGAGCTAAAACCAGCAGAACCCGAGCTAAAACCAGCAGAACCCGAGCTAAAACCAGCAGAACCCAAGCTAAAACCAACAGAACCCAAGCTAAAACCAACAGAACCCAAGGTAAAACCAACAGAACCCAAGGTAAAACCAACAGAACCCAAGGTAAAACCAGCTGAACCCTAGCTAAAACCAGCAGAACCCGAGCTAAAACCAACAGAACCCGAGCTAAAACCAACAGAACCTGAGCTAAAACCAACAGAACCCTAGCTAAAACCAACAAAAACTGAAACAAGATGAACTTAAACAAAAATGAACAGAACAAGCTAAAAGCTATCAAAAGCTATACATGTTCAAACAAAGCTAAAATTGTTGATTAAACTGTTGATGAAGTTACAAACAATGTTTACATACCAGCAACACTGAAGGTAAAAACAACACGAGATGCTGAAGCAAGAATCTGATCAATTAGCAGCTAAATGTTTAGCTCAAACTAAAGAAGCAGAACGGGAAATAAGTTAAAACCAGTAACCAGTAGCTAAAAGCGGCAAAATGGAAGCTAAAAGCTAAAAGTGACATTAGAGCAAGTTTGTTAAAACAATTCTCAAACGGAACAAAGTTTCTGAAGGAAGAGACTGATTTAAAAAAAAAAAAAAAGTTTAAAAGGTAATTAAAATCACAACTTATTTAAATTTAACACATTTATGATACTTGTTCGTTCACTCGTTAAAATAATTTAAAATTAGAAATAATTTGAGTTTGTTGTCAATTTGTGATAATGGATTTATTAGCACTTAAATAAATATATAAACAGTTTGAAACTGGTGTTAATAGGATGAGCCACCCTGAAAACACGTTTATATTTGATTTAACTCGTTCAAAGTTCTGCTGGACAAATAAAACTGCATGACTGTAATTTATGAGACTTCTCACCGGAGCTAGCTGCTTCTCCAGCACCTTCGCGGCCTTTTTGTAGCCGTTCACCTGCAGGTGTTTGTGGATTAAAGACAGCAGAGCGTCGCTGTCCTCCGAGGACATGTTGTCCCGCTGGTCCCGCCGAGAGACACGCTGCGAAAATGTCCAATACTGTCCTGTCTCTCAATGAACGACGTCTGGCTTCAGACATCCAACGGGTTCATCTGTCCGCGCACGTGCGGCATCAACACCTCCCCTCGAAATGCACCATGGGAAGTGGAGTTTTTATTAAAAACGCCTTTTTGGGGGGGCTAAACTAAAACATATGATCATCAAATGTCACAACAAATAAAGGTTTAAACCTAATAATATATATAACTTTTCATATATGATGAAAATATAATATTTTCTCCAATATTAGTGTAATGGCTGCCACTGTTAATCAACATTAGCAAATCAATCAATCTTTATTTATGGGATTTACCTGTATAAATAAAGGTTGATTGATTTGCTAATGTTG